ATCAGGTGGGCATCTATGAAAATAGCAAGTGTATCTCAAAATACTGGACTGCTGTTTTGAGTGGATTATATTCTTCTGTCCCTTTATCCTTTTTGATGAGAACAAAACCAGTGGCGTTACAAAATGTACAAGTTGTCTGAATACAATGCAGTCAAAATAAATGGTTACGTTGTTTATCTATTTCCTTTTCAACGGGAATGTTCTAATGCTTGTTTTGCTTTGTCTACAAAATACAAACACAGTTGCTCAAGGCCAGGCTGGATGGGGCTTGGAGCAGTCTGGGATAGTGGAAGGTGTCCCTGCCATGGCAAGGGCTGGAAAGAGATGGTCCCTTCCAACCCAACCCTTCCATGATTCTGTCATTCCAGTGAATGATTCCCCAGCTGCTCAGCCCCGGCAGGTGGCTGCAGTATGTAACCTCCAGGTGGGAGACACAGATTGAAATTCCAGCTCTGCATCCACCACAAGTTCCACCCTGGATTTAAGAAATTATCTATCACAGTCAAAACTGAACCCTGAGAGCATCAGCAAAAAATGTCCTAAACAGCTTCTTAGCTTCTATGAGAGGTGTTTTTCCTATTTTCTGCACCAGCTATTGCCTTGATTTGGGGCATTTTCTTTAAAAAAAAAAAAAAGAAAGTAAAAGCAGGAAAGGAAAATTACTTTCTGCTGAAGTGAATGCTTCTCTTCAGGTGTCAAAGACTGAGAGAAGGTGACAAAGAGGAGGTGGTGGCCAAAGATTGAATACAGGAACTTGATAACAACTGGCTTTTTTTTTTTTTTGTTTGAAAAATACCAGTTAAGAAGAAGGTTGAAAAAGTAGGTGACCAAACAGCTTTGCTAAAGCAACAAAGATTTATGCAAAGCTGAAGTTGTTACTCATATGTAATAATAATATTAGAGACTTGTTGAATAACCTGAGTTGGAAGGGACCCATAAAGATTATTGTACTCCAACTCCTGGAAAAAGTAATATATTATATTATATTATATTATATTATATTATATTATATTATATTATTTATTATAGTATATTGTAGTATAGTGTAGTATATTATAGTATAGTATATTTATTATTACATTACATTATAATACATTATAATATTATATTTTTTTATTATATTTATTATATCAATTTTATTATATTAATTCTATTTATTATATTAGCTATTCAACCCCCTTCCAGACACTACCCTTACAATCCCTGCCCTGTCCACGTGAGCACTCTCCTTTCCATGAGTAATTTAGAGCACACAGTTAATTGAATACTCTGGTGCTGCCACAGCTCCCTCCCAAGGGATGGAAGAGGCTCTTAGTCTAAATCAAAATTAGTCTTTAATATCAGCAAGAGCAAACAAAGGAGCCCTTGGAGTGATGAAAGGAGTTGATGTGTCACTCCTGAGCTGGGCTGAGTGTGCTCCAGCCCCATTGACTCCGAGCAGGAGGCTTTGCTGGAGGAGATAATTACAGGAAGAAGAGACCCAGCTGCTCTTCAGACAAATTAAGGATGTCCTTGTCCCTCATCTCCCTCTCCACGCTGGTCTGGGAGTCCTGCAGCTCTCCAGGAATGAAAAGCAGTTTCAGGCTCAGCCCTAATGAAGGGCTTGCACCATCCGTGGCTCCTGCTGCAGGTCAGTGAGAGAATTCACCACAAAATGGGATTTTTTTTTTTCTTTTCCACCCATTTTTTTACTCAGGTGACTTGATCCAAAAGCCTTTTGGTGTCCCCAGGTCTGAAGTCTCTCCTGTGGCTGGCACAGGGCTGTGTTTCTTGCAGCAATAAACTGAGCTTGTTAGGGATGAGTGAGCCTGAAAATGTAAACAGCTGAGAAAGTAAATAAATGGGAAGTGGTTCAAGCCACAAATGGCAGTCAGAGCCTTTTCCTGCAAATAGCAGAGATTTTTATCTCACTATCTGAAAGTGACATTCAAAGAATTGCTCTCTTGGGATTGGAAAAGGAGTTCTTCATTACAGGAAACAGGTCTGGATATGATTAAAAAGCTAAAGTGTTCTCCTTGGGGGTTTTTTTAGTTTTGTTTTATTGAAGGGAAATTGAAAATCTGGTGATTTCAGTGAAGCAGAGATTACTCCAGTGGCTCCATTTATGAACTGACAAATGGAATATGGAGCAGACATTTACAGAGGTGCTGCCTTGCACTGGGCTCTACAATCTCAGTATTCTCAGTCCCTCCTGCTGTGTCAAAACAGGCCAAAAAATACATTTATTGAAATGTCAAACTTCAATGTTTTGGCTCTGTTCATGTGGATAGAAAATAACTTTTCTATCTCTGCAACAGGAATTTTGTAGTTCTCTGTGAGATTGTTCTGCAGTTTACTGTGTGTTCTTGGAAAGTCCTTTGGAAGAAGTGCTCCCAGAAAACTCTCAGCCTCAAAATCCCAGGAACATTTTGAACCTACAGAAAGAGACCTTTTTTTTTCTCACAGATCCTGAGAGTGACTTCTCCTGTTTTTTTCCTCACCAGCTGAAAAGCTTAATCCAAGTGTGGAAATAAAATCAAATTCCGGAAAAACATTTTAAAATATCTTCTTAATGATCTTTTGCCAGCTTCATCCCTCTTCCCCTCCTGTAAACTTTTAGTTTCAAGCTGTTCTAATACTCAAAGGACGGATTACTGTGGGTAAGTTTTCCTTGGTAAATAGTTTCCAGGGAGATTTAGATTTCTTTAAGCTGCGAATTTCTGCTCCTTGAAATGCAGAGAGAATTTTCTGGGGTTTCTTTTGGTTGTATCCAGCCCCAAAACTCCTTTCTGTCAGAGTGCATTGGATGCACTGCCAGTCAGCACTGGGCAAACTGGCTCAGGACAGGGGAGGAAAAAGGGGAAACTGAGGCAGGAGAGGCTGGGTGTGCTGGAATCCTTTGGCTTAATGAATTCTGGAAATCAGAACTTGCTGCTTCTTCATGCCTTGGGGTACATGGATTATCCAAACCCTGTACAGATGGGAGCCTTGGGATGTGCTGGAGGGGTGTCCTCAGGAAATCTGCTCATCCTCCTTTTTTCTTCTCTCTGTGCAGACAAGAATGGCCTGAGCAAGCATTATCCTGCTCACAACACCGGATCACACGGCAGGGAAAGGCACAGGAAAGGGCAAAGCAAGGATTTGGTGTGGGAGTTACCATGTGTCAGCACTGGGTTGTTACAGGAGCCCGAAATCATGAGCCAAAGCAGGTTTTGCTGGGGACTTTCTGCAGCCACAGGGTTAATCCTTAAAGCTGGGCCTGACACAGGATGGGGCCTCTGACTCTGTGACTCAGATGGGGCTCCAGGCTCACACTGCCTCGCTTCACCAAACAGAAACTGATTTTTTCCTTAAAATTAGGACTTGAGTTTTGTATTTGTGGGGTTCTTAGATGAAGGAAGGAAATGATGAATTTGACTTTATGTTCTTAGAAGGTTAATTTATTATTTTATGATTTATACTCTATTAAAGAATACTAAGGAATACAGAAAGGATACAGACAGAAGGTTAGAAGACACTAATGAAAAACTCATGACTCTAGAAAGAGCCTCGACACAGCTTGGATGTAATTGACCAATAAGTCAAAGCAATTCACATGAAACTAATGCAACAAGCAGCTGTTGGTAAGCAATTTCCAGCCACATTCCAAAGCAGCAAAACACCAGAGAAACCAATGAGATAATATTGTTTTCCTTTTTCTCTGAGGTTTCTCAGCTTCTCAAGAGGGAAATCCTAAGCAAGGGGATTTTTCCAGAAAATATGATGGTAACAATGAGGGGGAAATGGTGAACCACTGTAGGTTACAGCTAACAAAGCAGTAATAAAGCAAACCATCTCCTGAAACAGCAGCTACACCAGAAGCTGTCTCAGCTGGGGCAGCTCTCTGAAACCTCTCTGCAACAGGCAATAGCTTTTAATTGGCACCTCCAAATCCCTGCTGCCCATCACAGCCATCCTGGGTGTCACCCTGCCTTGGGACACAGCTCCCCTTCTCCAGCAGCAAGAGCAGAACGATCCCCTGGCCATGGAGCTACAGCCACAGTCATATCCCCATGTGTCCTGGACTTTTCCCACATTTCTGCTTGTTTGGCAGAAAGAATTTCACCCGTTTGCCTGCAGGCAGTGAAGGCATTGGTGGGGCTGGCGTCAGTTTGGCTGTGAACTCGTGGCTGGGGGCTTTGACTTCTCCTGGTCTCATCTCCCAGGTCACAAGGGACAGGAGGAAACAGCCCCAAGTTGTGCCAGGTGAGGTTGGGATTGGATGCAGGTGAAAAGTTCTTCACTGAAAAGATTGTCAAGCCCAGGGAAGGGATGGAGTCCCCATCCCTGGAGGGATTTCAAAACCACTTGGGGACATGGGTTTGTGGTGGCTTTGGCAGTGCTGGGGGAATTGGATGACATTAGAGGGATTTTCCAACCTAAATGATTCCATAATTCTCCACATTGTTGCTCTGAGTACATGGTATTCACTCAAAAATCTCAAGATACAGACTCTGCACAAAGGATTAGTATTGTATTTGTGGGGGCCCTTGTGGCAGGAAGGAATGATGAATCTGACTCCATGTTTTCAGATGGTTCATTTATTATTTTATGATACTATATTATATTAAAGAATATTATACTACACTCTACTAAAGAATACAGGAAGGATACTTACAGAATGCTAAAAAGATAATAATGGAACTTCTGACTGTCTCCAGAGTCCTGACACAGCTTGGCACTGAGTGGCCAAAGTGTGAAAACAACTCACAGCAGAATCCAGTGAAACAGTCACCTGTGGGTAAACAATCTCCAACCACATTCCAAAGCAGCAAAACACAGGAGAAGCAAATGAGATAAGAATTGTTTTCCTTTTTCTCTGAGGCTTCTCAGCTTCCCTGGAGAAACATCCTGGGCAAAGGGATTTTTCAGAGAATGTGAATGTGATTAGTCTTTTCAAGAGAAACCTTGCATCCAGAGCACGGTGGGGCCACAAAAAGTGGAGCCACTTTTTGCTCCATGTGACCACTGGGCACCTTTGGAAGTCAAAATTTACAGCAAGACTTTTCTCCTTCTGAAGGGTTCTGTAAAGCTTCCAGCTGCTTCTCCAGTCCTCTGGCTCCTACAGCTGTGCCCCCCAGTGCTCTTTATGTGGCTCAACAAGTACCACCAGGCTGCTTCCTGAAGATCTGGAGCAGCTGCATCCCATCTGGATTCTGCTGGGAGCCTGCTCCACCACTGCCTGGGTGATCCCACTCGTCTGTGCTGGGAGAATTATCTGCAGCAGCAGCAGCAGCTTGGGCTTGCTGATAAGAGCTTTACACAGAAATGAGGCAAGAGAAGGCTGGGATGCACAGGTCTGATCTCTGCACTTGGTTTTTAATAGGAAATGTGGGGGGAAGCAGGGAGGCAAGGCTGTGCTGATGGATGAAGCTGGGCAGAGGGCACAGAACTCCCATATTTTTATATTTTATTGTTATATTCTTTATATTTATATTTGCTTTACACACTTGAGGCAAACCCAGCCTGGTGAAACAGATTCTTCCTTGATAGTAACCCAATATGGATATAGACCAAATCTTATAAAAGTGTGAAAACTCATGACTTGGGGTCCATCTTGGGACCATGACTGGGCTCTTGTACTGCCCAAGGTGAATCCTTTGAAGGCCTTTTAATAAATTTATTTATTCCTTTATTCCTCCTTTATTCCTTTAACTCTGCCCAGCCTCTGTTCCAGGTGCCCCTCAAGGCATCACCCCTGACGTGCTTGTGGCCAGGGAAGGATCTCCTCCTCATCCAGGGCTGCTCAGCAGCATGTCAGGATGCCCTCAGAGAGCTGAGCCTCCCCTGGGATGGTGTAAGCAGGCAGATAAAAGTTCTCCTGCTTAGGAGCAGGGAATTAATCACATCTCCCAAATCCATCTTGGTAAACAAGCTTTAGCTGGGAAACCTGAAATGATAAATCCTACTTTTCCATTTGGGAACTCAGTTGTTTTCTTTCAGTTAAGCTTCCTGTGTCCTTAGAACGCTTTTGGGGTTATTGTCTATTTCTGGCCAGGCACTGAGAGGGGAACAAACTGAAAATTTGGGCAAAAGCCTTTTTTTCTGGAGGCTGGAGGGGTGGGCTGCATCCCTCTGAGCCAGCTATGTCCACTCCGGAGGACACCAGGGAGATGGATGCTCAGGGAGATGGATGCTCACTGATCCCTCAGAGCCTTCACCATGGCCACAGCTTCACCTCATCAGCTTCATCCTGGGGTTGAACCCCAATCTATGCACTTCTCTGACAAAACACTGTGGGGAGAGATGCTCCAAGGACCAAGGGGCTACAATCCACGAACCTTTGGGAAAAGTTTCACTGCAGCAGGAGGTGTGGCAGGTTAGGACCCTGCTCAGGGCTGATAAGGACACCTCAGGGGATGGGAAGAGCTCTCTCAGGCTCTGCTCTCCCCATCTCCCAGAGCATTTAACCCCAAATCTGTGTCTGGCATGAGAGGCTGGGTTTCATGTTAACAGCTTTTAATTGTGTGGGAAATGTGCTGCTTCTCCAGGTGTTGGGTTACTGCCTGTCCTCTGAAAGCAGGGACCTTTCCTCAAGGTCAGGGGCTTCGTGTGCATTTATTTGGTCACCAAAGTAACACCTTTCTTCTCGGGGAAGGTGGTGGTGAGAAAAACCACCAGCAGAAAGCCTGAGCTGATGTTGCTCGCACATTTGGGGGCTGTTGTTTGATTTGTTTTAATATTTGAGGTCTTTCTTTAAATCATCTTTCTCGGGCTCTTTGAAACGTGCCAAGAGGATGATTAATTGCAGGAAGCATCCAGGCTCCGGGTGTGATTTGTGTGTTAATCAGTGCAATCAGCACCGCTGAGTCCTGTTACACCTGGCAGCAGAGCAGGGAAGGGATGGAAGGTGATATCCATGGGTCTGGAGCTGGGGGGGCTGCAGGGCAGGGAGCCCCGAGGGGAAAGCTCGATTTTACACCTGACTCGTGGCTCTGCTCCATCAGGGATTCTGCTTATGGCTGGCAAAATCCGACACTGAACGAGGTGACTTCAGGGAAAACGCTGCCCTAAAAGCATTTCATTATTTCTCTCCTGTCTGATGGAAAGTGCTTTGGGACATTGAGCCAAAATTTATGGTGCTCTCACAGATTTTGTGAAACCTTTGCTGCAGAAGAGCCACAATTCAAAAGCAGCTCTTAGTGACCATCAGCCACCAAAGGGTCACAGGATGGTTTGGGTTGGAAGGGACATTAAAGATCATCTCATTCCACCCCCTGCCATGCAGGGACACCTTCCACCGTCCCAGGCTGCTCCAAGCCCTGTCCAGCCTGGCCTTGGGCACTGCCAGGGATCCAGGGGCAGCCCCAGCTGCTCTGGGCACCCTGTGCCAGGGCCTCAGCACCCTCACAGCCAGGAATTCCCAATTCCCAATCTCCCATCCATCCCTGCCCTCTGGCAGTGGGAGCCATTCCCTGTGTCCTGTCCCTCCATGCCTTGTCCCCAGTCCCTCTCCAGCTCTCCTGGAGCCCCTTCAGGCCCTGCCAGGGGCTCTGAGCTCTCCCTGGAGCCTTCTCCTCTCCAGGGGAACATTCCCAGCTCTCCCAGCCTGGCTCCAGTGGCTTCACTCAGCACGCCAGACAGGCAGGGTGGCCCAGGCAGGAGTGATTTTCCTGAAGCTGGACACATCTGGGCTAAGAGCAGTGATTTTCTCTGGAGGTGTCTCTGCTCACAGGTTCACTCCCTGCTCCAGATCCCAGTGCCCCTCTCCAGGTCCTGCTGTGAGCACAAAGCCTGGTCTCATTGTGCTTAGCTAGAACATCAGCTACAGAATCTGAGTGCTCAAGAGCTGGGAAATGAAGAGGTAAGAACTCACTCATTTTAACTATTTCCACAGCATAACCACTTACATGACTTTTCTTGCTGAGGAGAAAAAAAAAAAGAAAAGCCTTTTCCATCTCTGCAGTTGCCTAATTCCAACTCAGATATTTCTCTGTATTTTTGTTGGGGTTTTAAAAATCTTTTTAATGTTTTGTAATTATTTTTTTCCTTCTTACACAGATGAAGACTGGACTCCTGTCATTTTAACACCTGGATCAGAAAACTCTTCAGTGTGTTGCATCCAAAGAGGAAAAAATTAGGCTTATCCTTGTAAAATGTGCAGCTTAATATCTGTGTTCCCATGGCAGGAGAAGATTCCAGGGATGGGGCAGCCACAGCTTCTCTGAGCACCCTGTGCCAGGGCCTCCCCATCCTCCCAGGGAAGAATTCCTTCCCCAGATCCCATCTAAACCTGCCCCATGTCATTTTAATGCCATTTCCCCTGTCAAAAGTTCCCCTCTAACTCTTCTGGGCGCCCCTTTAGGTTCTGGAAGGTGCTTTAGCCCAGCTGTGGATTCACTGCTGGATTTTTCCTGTCAGCTGAGAGGGAGGAAAACCTCCATTTCTAAACACCAAAGGTTGGGATCTGAGACAGGAGCTCTTGCCATGGGATGGAAGAAAGGAAGAGAACGGGACAGAGCTGGGGCAATAATTCAGAGCAGTGACCTTTGGCTGCTGAGGCAAACTGGCACTGACTCCAGCCCCAAAAACCCCAATTTTGGTCCCATCTGGCTGTGCAGGGCTCCAGCACCAGCAGGACCAGGACTTGAACTCCCCAGCACTCTCTTCCTCCAGGAGATGGTTTTGTTTATGCCTGGAGCCACCCCTGGATAAAAATGGGGCTTAGCCAGGCTGGGGTGGTTTCCTCTCCCAGGAACAAGTGAAGGACAAGAGGAAATCACCTCAAGTTGCACCAGGGGAGGTGTATTAGGAGGAAATTAGGACAAATTGAAATAAAAATTGAAAGCAAAAGCTGCTGCAGAGAATAGGCCTTCTCTATTTTTTTCTTTTTTTCCCCCCTGCTTTAGCTTTAGCATTTTCTGCCACATTTTTGTGATTACTTTCAGTAATATCTTGCCAGGTCATTGTTACAAATCATCTTTTCAAAAATAGCAGCAGTAACTTCTTGTGGCTGAAAAGTGGGGATTTCAATAAATGAAAACCAGAGGAAAAAAAATCCCAACCCAAACCCCTGCTCTTGACCTCAGTGGCTTTCTGTTTATTTGGTTTTTAAGAGTGGGAGATTCTCAGGGAAAAGCAGAATTTCTAAAATACATTTTGCAATGACCTATAGGCACATTTTGCAGATAATTAAGTGTTTTATTTTATCAATCCCCACCCCAGGGCAGCAGCAATGGCCTCACAGTCCCTGTGTACTGCAGTGTAGCCAAATGAAGCTTCAGAAGCTTTTTCCTAAGAACATTGAGGGGAAAAAAATAAAAATCAGCTCCAGCAGCTCTCAAAGGCATCTTTGTGTGGCAAAAAGCAGTATTTTTAGGTCAACTTGGCTAAGCTGAAGGAGGTGGTTTGTGTGTTAAGTAGAAGTAATGCCTGGTTTTTAAGCTCAGCCTGAATTTGTGGAAGTCAAAACTGTGCTGGTTGCTTTGGGTGCTGCCTGGAGCTGGGGGCAAGTGGCCACCAGTGAGAGACAACTGCTTGGTCCTCAGTTTTAATTAGAAATGTGTAACTGCAAGGGGTGACTGCAAAACTGCTCAGTTTGGTCCCTCTTTTCTCACTGAACAGTGGTCATTTAATATTTTAATGGAGTAAAATGGATTATTTTGGGTGTTAAGTCGCAGCTCCATGGACCAGCAGTTAATGCCAGGGTGGGTGTCAGCTGTGTGCCAGGAGGAACAGGGAAATTTGGGGCTGGATCAGGAGCACAGCAGGGTTTGCTCTGCCCCATCCCCGAGGGGGAGCATCAGCAGTGATGGGAATGAACAAAATTGTGGAATAAACCATGGGAGAAGCTCTGGCAGATGGGGGATCCCCTAGATTTACAGATTTAGGATCCCCAGCTTCCCTGGACTGGCACCGAGATCTCCTGTGGGGACACTTTGTAAAGGCTCATGCCACAGAATCCCAGAATGGTTTGGGTTGGAAGGGACCTTAAAATCATCTTTAATTCCAATTCCACAGGCAGGGACACCTCCCACCAAACCAGATTGCTCCAAGCCCCATCCAACCTAGCCAGAAAGGGAATTTAGGGTGAGAGAAAGGGGGAAAAAAATAAATGAACTGAGGCAAGATAGAAGGGGAAGAAAGCAAGGCTTGGTTTTTCCAGCAGGAAAAATGATTTCTCACATGTTCCTCTTCTCTGGAATGATGAAATGAGGCACTCAAAGGCTGGGACAAAGAGGGAATTACAGCTAGGACCAAGCAAATATTGGGCCCAAGGACTGGCAGCTGTGTCAGTGGGGGTCAGGTTGGATATTAGGAAAAAATTCTTTCCCCAGAGGGTGCTGGCACTGCCCGGGCTCCCCAGGGAATGGGCACAGCCCAAGGCTGCCAGAGCTCCAGAGGGGTTTGGAACACGCTCCCGGGCATGGAGTGGGATTGTTGGGTGTGTGTGCAGGGCCAGGAGCTGGATTTGATGATGCTGGAGAGCCCCAGCCCTGGATGATGTAGGATTCTGTGGGGTAAGTGTGGCTCACACCAAGTTCACTCCTGGTGTTATTGTGTGTCCCTCTCAGCCAGGGCAGGACTGAGGGATTCTCTGGGTGAGCTGTTCCCACAACGTGTCAGTAGGTGGCAAAAAGCTCCAATCCTTGTGCTGTGCAAGAAATAAATATTTTTTTCCCTGCCTCTTTCAAGTGCAGGAGGGATTTGTGGCATCAGTGGAGGTGGATTGTGTTCCCACTGGGACAGAGATCCCTGCAGCAGCACTGCCAGCTCAGAGTGCAGGACCAGAGCAGGTGAAGAGGCTCAGAGACAAACAGGAGCTGCCTCCTTCCTCTGAATTCACCAGGGGACCCTCGTGCCATGGCTTGGCCTTACCCAGGAATTATTTAAAGGAAGCTGGGAGCTGTGACTGTGGGAAAGCAGCAGATTTAGGGCTGTGCTGTGGCACCTCAGAGGGTGCCTGGTGAGGCAAACAAAAACCTGCCGAGCTCGGTATTTTTTCAAGCTGGTGATAAAGCTTTAATCTTGGTGTGCAGGCTGGACAGGAGCTGCTCCTGGGGGCTTTTCCCTGCAGCTTGGTGTAAGCACATTGCAGCACTCCCAGGCTCATGTCGCACACCCTCCAGGGAGGCAGGGCACATGAAGGTTGTAAAGGGGCTGCTGGGGTATCCCAGTGGCTCAGAGGGTGGGGTTTTCCCTGCTCTGGAATGCCTGTGTGCACCGGGGAAGGAGGATGGGATGTGGTGCTGGAGACATTCCTGAGGAGGCCAAATGCTCTGAGCACCAGGTGGGACTGAGCCCAGGGAGGTTAGAAAATCCCATTAATCCAGGCTAGTCAGTGAGATCCACTTACAGTGTGGCTTTGTTCAGCTTTATTTACCTAACACCTCTCTTTGCTGAGTGTAATTAATTTTTTTTTCCCTCAAGAACAGTAACAGAGGTGTTACAGCAACCCCAGCTCCTTTTTTAAATACAGAAGTGCAGTTCATTGACACTTCCTCTTAGAAATTGTACATTTAGTTGCTACTGATTTTTCCAGGTTGAGCATTATCATTTTGATTTAACATTTCAGCAAAACCAGTTCAGCTAAGCCTGGGCTGGAAGAACTTTGCTTGCTCTGGCCATGCGTGACAAAAACATCCTGTAATCATTTCCCTGGGGGGATCCACTGTCCTTTGGGGCAGGGATCTATCTGACCTACACCTCCTGTAGGGGCTGTGCCATTTGCTGCTGTCCATACCCACATCACTAACAGTGTTAAAATCTCCATTCTTTGCTGTTTTGCTGAAAAATGATAATCTGAATTCTCGGAAGGTGCTGGATCTGGGCTGAGCAGGTGCCCCAGCACACTCCTATGTGGAGACTCCTCTGAGCTCCAGGAAGGGTCCAGCCTTGCCTTAAAGCTTTGGGTGGTGTGGGATATCCACAAAAGCACATTTTCAGCCTGGGGAGGCACAGGGAGGTGAGGGGCTCTGCTGAACACAGACTCTGGTTCCTGGGGGTGTGTGTGTGCTCAGGTGTGGTGAGTGGTGAGCTGTGCCCTCTGCAGAGCTGCCTGAACTGGCTCAGCCTTCAGATGATTCCAGCATTTGGATCTGGGAGCTGAGAGCCTCTCCCTGAAGTCTCCACTGCTGAGTTGCAGAACACACATTGTGGGAGCTTGGTTGGGGTTTTTTTTTTTTCCCTTTTCTGCAGTTTGTAGAAAAGTCTGTGTTTCACCTTTAGTCACGAAGAAAATGTTTTCACTTCCAGTGTCTGGAAGGATGTTAGAAAACATGAGCAGAGGATGAGATGCCACCTGTCTCTCTACAGGTTGTGATGGATTAATGCAATCAAGAACAGCACAGTCAAACAGTTTTGAGCACCAGAAATATTTCACAGACTCACAGAACATTTTGGGTTGGAAGGGACCCTAAAGCTCATCCAGTTCCAACCCCTGCCATGGCAGGGACACTTTCCCCCATCCCAGGTTGCTCCAAGGCCCATCCAAGCTGGCCTTGGACACTCCCAGGGATCCAGGGGCAGCCACAGCTGCTCTGAACACCCTGTACTAGGCTCTGCCCACCCACCGAGTCAGGAATTCTTCCCTAATCCCATCTCCCCCACCCTCTGCCAGTGGGAAGCCATTCCCCCTGCGATGGGAGCAGCTTTGCTGATTTTATCCCTTCTGTAAGAGCAGGTTTTGCACGCTGCAGATTGATGAATTAATGCTCAGAGAGTCTCTCTGCACAGGCTCTGATGTGGATGGAGTGCTCCACAGACACTTCTCCGTGGGCAGCACTCTTCCCCAAGGCTGGCAGCACCATTATTGGAAAACTAATCAGCTCTATCTGAGATAAATTGCATTTCCACCAATTATAGCTTAATTGTTGACAGATGGGAACACAGAAGGACGATGTGTCACATCATTAAGAGAACAGGTGTATAGACAAGTGCCAGATTAATTGTTCCAGCCCATTAAATCATTGACCTTTTCAGCACACCCTCAACACTGAGTTTGAAGCTCTCACGGTATTTCCAGCTCACACAGACTGCCTGTGTTTGTCAGCAAAGTTCTCAGGGCATTTTTAAAACACACAGACTCCAGACATGGACTCATTAGCCATGAGCAGCTCTCCTTCTCATTAAAATGATTCCTCTTCTTCTTCCTTCCCTGTGCTGGGGTTTGTTTTTGTGTCTTTCTGGTGAAATCCCACGTGGTGTGTGGGCTTTCTCCAAAGTGCAGTTTTCCCCACGGAGCAGGCAGACATTCTGTAATGGGCCATACATTTGGGGATGTCAAAAGGAGGTGAAGTCAGGACACAGCAGCTCAGTCCTGGCCAGCTCGGCTGGAGGCTCCAGCTTGATTTAGGGCTTTGTGATTTCCAGCTCCTGCTCTGCCTGGGATTTTCAATAAAGATAAATCCTGGTGAAAGTGAGTCAGCCATGGGTGTCTTGTTCCCTTCAATAAGTGTAAAAATGCTCTTTTCCTGGCTGTGGAAATCAGGAATCTGATGTTGCAGTGCAGACACACCACAGCAGCTCTGTGGGAGGGAGCACAGGTTTGGGGCAGGGATGCAGGACAAGTTTCATCTGTCCTGAGCTGCCCAAGCCCTGCGTGTGCTGGGTAACCCAGAACTGACTCCAGATCTCGTTCTTCTGCCTTGGAAAATGAAAGGATCAGCTTTCCAGCTGGAAGTGCTGTGATGGTAATGGCATTTGTTACACCTGGAGCCCCTGCCCTGCAGCCAGGAGCTGATCTGGAGATGCTTTTCCCCCCTGGTAGTTCTATAAAAGCAGGTGGGAAGGGAGGGGACAAGCAGGAGGCACAAGGAGGAGCTGATGCCCTTTGTCAGCTCTGCAGCTGCACACAGAAGCAAAACTGGGGCTGGCAATTAGGGCTCTGCTGCCCAGGGCCAGGGCTGGGGGTGAAATCTCTCCCCCCGTGGTGTTCCATCAATCCTCTGCTTATCCAGTTTGCCACATTAAAAATAACTGTGATATTTAACCGAAATCTCCTTTTATATAAATTATGTGAATCCACAAACTTG